CCAAAAATGAACAAAAATGACCCAAAAATGACTGAAAAAATGCCTCAAAATCACCCAAAAAATGACCCAAAAATGACCCAAAAAAAGCCCAAAAATGACCCAAAAAAGCCCCAAATTGACCCAAAATTGATCCTGAATGATCAATGGGTGACCAGAGCCCCAAAAATGACCCAAAACTGACCCAAAAAAGACCCAAAAATGACCCCAAAATCGACAAAAAATCGACAAAAAATCACCAAAAATCGCCCAAAAATCGCCAAAAAAAATCCCAAAAAATCCCCAAAAAATCCCAAAAAATCCAGAAAGCCCCAAAAAGCTCCAAATTACCCCAAAAAAGCCCCGGAAAGGGCGGACTGACCATGGCCGAGACGGTGAAGTCGCGGGCGTGCATTTTCTCCGTCAGCCAATCGACTTTGCGGCGAGTGTTGATGAAAATCACGGCCTGGGTGATGGTCAGGGTCTCGTAGAGGTCACACAGAGTGTCCAGCTTCCACTCCTGGAGGGGGGGAAAAATGAAAAAAAAATTTAAAAAATGATTCTGAGTGAGCAGTGAGAAAAAATTGGGAAAAAATCGGGAAAAAATTGGGAAAAAACGGCTCAAAAATGACTTAAAACGGACCTAAAATGAGCTAAAATGACCCAAAATGACCCAAAAATGACTCAAAATGGACCTAAAATGACCCAAAAATGACCCAAAATGACCCAAAATGACCCAAAAATGACCCAAAAATGACCTAAAAATGACCTAAAATGAGCTAAAATGACCCAAAATGGCTCAAAATTGACTCAAAATGGACCAAAAATGACCCAAAAATGACCCTGAGGTCACACAGAGTGTCCAGCTTCCACTCCTGGAGGGGGGGAAAATGAAAAAAAAATGATTCTGAGTGAGCAGTGAGAAAAAATTGGGAAAAATTTGGGAAAAATGGAAAAAAAATGGGAAAAAACGGCTCAAAAATGACCCAAAAATGACCCAAAAATGACCCCAAAGTGACCCCGAGGTCACACAGAGTGTCCAGCTTCCACTCCTGGAGGGGAGAAAAAATGAAAAAAAAATTTAAAAATGATTCTGAGTGAGCAGTGAGAAAAAATTGGGAAAAAATTGGGAAAAAATTGGGTAAAATGGAAAAAAAATGGGAAAAAACGGCTCAAAAATGACCCAAAATGACCCAAAAATGACCCAAAAATGACCTAAAATGAGCTAAAATGACCCAAAATGACCCAAAAATGACTCAAAATGGACCTAAAATGACCCAAAATGGCTCAAAATTGACTCAAAATGAACCAAAAATGACCCAAAAATGACCCAAAAATGACCCAAAAATGACCTAAAATGATCCAAAAATGACCCAAAAATGACTCAAAATGGACCAAAAATGACCCAAAATGACCCAAAATGACCCAAAAATGACC